AAATAATTTATTCTTTTCATCTCTATAGCTACTTTTTACAGAGCAGTATGTACCTCTCTTCCACTGGCAAACTCTTTACTACTGCCTTTTTAGTCTTCTTTGTTCTTGCTTATTCAGATGTAAATGTTGCTCTCTTCCCCACCCCAGCAATGAAAGACAAAATATTTCTAAACCGTTCATCAAAAGTAAGTAATTCAATCATGTTTAATCATTTGGTTACTTTTCCTTAATTTTTATGCAGTGCTCTTGTGGTCTGAGGAGTATCTAGCAGTGCATTCAATATTACTCAAAAGGAAGTTCTCTGTCTTTTGTAGAAAAAAAAGATTGTCACTGCTTTTGGTGATGTCAAAGTGTTTTTCAACATAAAACCAAAATATGCCTGGTATTTTAGTTTTCATATGCCAGAACAGGTATATAAAGTAGCTATTTCATCATCTCGTATTGGATGACATGGCAGGCTATTAAGTTTATTGCACATTTAATGTAATACATTATCACCTCCAAAAGATTTTCCTTCTATTTTTTTTTGTTTCTTTTTATTTTCTTCTATATCTTAATAAGGGAGATATGAGATTGCCTGTCATCAGTGGTAATTGTTTCTTCTCCAACACAAGAACTAGCATAGAGCTTCTTATAGGAATATTTCCTAGCTTGCTGCTTTGACAGTGGAAGCCCTTTTCTCTGAAGGAGTCTTAAGGAATACTAAGACAGCAGTCCTAGATACAAAGCCTATCCTTACATCCAAGGCTATTACTGAAAGTCCTCAGTATTCTTCTTGAAATACCATAATATGATACATTAAAAAATTATTACCGTTTTAACACTCAACCTGATTTGGACAACAAACCATCCTAGGAGTTGTGTGATTATGCACAACCTCAGTGACGTGGTGCAATCTGCCATTGAAGAAAAATTACATGTTTTTTCCTCTGAAAACAGATGAGTTAACTTTGTAATGTTGAATTTAATATGTTGGGTCACATCTGCTAAAAGATTATTGCACTAGAAGGAGGAAATGGATAATTTATTAAAATACCCCTGCAGGGAGATAGCAGGCTATCTGGTTAATATAGAGGAATGCTTGATGGTTACACTGAAAGCTCCCTAGTGAATCCTTTAACACAGGAAGGAGTAGAACGGGAGATGAAAATGATTGCTCGTTATATAATGTTTACTGTGTTATATTGGTGCCTAGCAGATGAATAATATTTATGTTAACAGCTCCTTTCCAGCTTTTTATATTGATCTCCCGCTGGTCTAGAGATGGTATATAATTGTACTGAAAATAGTCAGATAATACTTCTTTGTAATGGAGGGTGACAAAAAGGTTCTTCCAACACATCACCCAAGTTGGATATGAAGGGAAAGATATTGCATCTTTGTGCCACAGACTTTTAAGATTTTAATTTACTCTTTCTTCATGAACTATTTCTCATCTCCTTGTAAATTCAAATGAACAGCAGAAACAGTGTCCCACAGGCAGTAACAGTTTCTCTGTGCGTGGGAAAGCTGCTTTCCTTTGCCTCAAAGGAACCTTGCTGTTGTTATGCGTACTGAGTTTGGGAAGGGCCAAGTGACTCTGTCTTTCCATGAATGCTGAAAGCTAAAAAGCTGACAAATAGCTGTCCTGTCTTACTGAATACACAGTTCATATATGACTCACCAGCCTTAGATAAAGATTTTCATTCATGCCATAAGAACTGCGAATTGACATTTTAGTTGGGGGTTACATTATTTCTCGTGTCTATGTACAGCCTCCTATTTAGAGAACAGAAATGAAACCAGGTGTTTGGTGGTGATGTCCAGCTGGAAGGTTCTCAGGTCATGTACTCAGAGGAACTGACATGCCTCAGTTTGCTCACAACAATGGACAGTTTCACATGGCAGCTAAGAGCTCAATGAACCTAAAAAGTCCTTAGCGTCATTTGCTTTCATTGGTTCCTTGGGCTGATGTTTCTGGGTTCATCCACACCTGCTGTTGAGAAAGCTAGGCTTTAGAAATAGCAATGGTTGCTTGGAAAACTGAGTTGGCATATTTTTAGAAAAGAAAAAAGAAAACAAAACAGAGACAAAACCCAACAAGCCTTTTGCATGTTACGAATTATTCTTCTCAGGCCCAGTGATGTTGTGTAAGAAACTTCTGACCATACCTGTTAGTCACTGTGCACTGAAGGTTTGGGGTGGAGAGATCCTTGCTTTTGTGATAGGAGCTGGTTCTGTGAGTTTTACTGGATTCAAAGGATGTGAACACTTGGAGGAGAGCCAGTGCTGTGCTCCTTAATCCTTATCATCATTAACTGCATGAAAATGCGGTAAAGACATTCCTTTCCTATTTAATGCATAATATTAAAGTAAGACAGAGCAAGACTGGAATAGGCCACAGATAGGAAAGTATTGCTTTCCGACTTCCTTCCTTCCTTGGGGAAGGAACAACCGACATTAAAAACGTGTGTATAATGAAAAAACACAAAACAAAGCTCCTCTTTGGTCAGTTTAGTTCCATGATAACTACATTCCCTAAATGCATTGTTGTGTGCTTCAGTATAAATGCTTGATTTCAAGTCATGGGTTACAATGAAACCTGAAGTGTTTAGGGGAGCAAAACCAATATATTAAAGTATGTTATGTGGTGGTTCATCCTGAAAAAATTGTAAACTCCTATATGTCGGATAGTTTTGATGTTTTTTTCTTCTTAACTTCTTGGTATATAATGCAATTAAAGATTATGGTGCCTTCTATTATAAGAAGGATCAACAGGGATATAATAATCCTAATACACTGCTGCTTTAGTACCTTTCCTTTGTAAATATTAATACATTTTTAGATTTAAAGGTTCATACGACCTTTGTGAATAAGTAAATGGAATTTGGTAGGATAACTTGAATTCTGTTTCCCTCCTGCCTCTGAAAAACAATAGCATCTATTCAACTGTGCATACACACCAATGCTGCAGAAGGGTTTAAAAAGGTAGTATAAGAAAAACTCTCTCTGCACAGAGCTGTCCGAGTTTGACATTGAATATGACAGTGAAAGTTTCACACCAAAAAGCCCAAAAGTAGTCAAGAATGTTTTATTTTTCATCCCATAAAGAAGCAGCTCAGACTTAGGAGATCCTCTCATGATTGGATGGATTTAGTATTGGTTTAGCATGAACTAAGGCATTGGTCTTTTCTGAGGTTTAACATAGATGACATGATTTGTCTGCCTAAGACTGTATGTAGGATCAGGGTCTCAGAGACAGTATCGTTTAAGGAATCACGAGCACAGCTTCCAGTAGTATGTGATGGCTCTTGTAATTCCTGAACAATGCATCTGAGGACTTGGGAAGCAGAATAAAACATAGCTAGTTACAATGACTTGTTATCCAAAATACTTACTGTAGCATTGCAGCAGTCTTGTGATGTTAAACTGTAGAATGTTTGGGTTTAGCTTTATGTGTACCAGTTACAACATTCCCTGTTTAAACAAAGAAAGAAATAATTTCATGCTATTAATGACTTATTCTCCATAGAGGGGGAAAAACAGTAATCCCTCATTAAAGCAAAAACATGTGCTACTGATTACATATATGTATAACTAGTAGTTACTGGTATCAGCCAATACATATTTCCCCTGCCTGTGTCAGAAAAGTTGGAGTCCTTTTTTCCTAATGAAATGCAAAATCAAAGTTGAGTTGTAGCAAATGTGGAGAAAAGCAGTTACCTGCTGCTGTATCCTTTCAGTAACATATTTGCATTTTTTAACAACTAGTTAAGAGTAGTTTAAGTATTGCATTAAGTATACTTAATGCAACCAAATAGACATTGTTTAAGAGTGAAGTGCTATGAAGTAAATAGCTGTTTGAATTGACACCATTTACTTCCATTTACTTTAAATGCAGTTTACACAATTTACTTCAAGGCTGGTTTGCTACATGCTGCTGCTGCTCTGCTTCTGTGTGATAGCTTATTAAGCTGTAGAAACTTGATCACTTAGAGGTCTTGGTCTGACATTTCAGTGTTGAACTTGAGTTCAACAAGAACTCCCCTCTACTGAGTAACTATGATTTCTGTGAACTCTTCTAATCACAGAATGACAGAATGGGTGAGGTTGGAAGAGACCACACTGGATCATCTGGTCCAACCTCCCTGCTCAAGCAGGGTCATCCTAGAGCGCTTTGCACAGATTTGTATCCAGATGGTTCTTGAATATCTCCAGTGAGGGACACTCTACAGCCTCTCTGGGCAGCCTGTTCCAGTGCATGGTCACTCACACAGTAAAGAAGTTCTTCCTCATGTTGAGGTGGAACTTCCTGTGCACCACTTTCTGCCATTTACCTCTTATCCTGTTGTTAGGCACCTCTGAGAAGAGCCTGACTCCATCCTTCTTTGCACCCTCCCTTCAGATACTTATAGACGTTGTTTGATGAGATCCCCTCTCAGTTGTCTCTTCTGAAGGCTGAACAGACTCAGCTCCCTCAGCCTTTCCTTGTAAGAGAGATGCTCCAGTCCCTTAATCATCTTTGTTGCCCTCCGCTGGGCCTGCTCCGGGAGCTCCACATCTCTCTTGTACTAAGGAGCCCAGAACTGGACACAGCATTTCAGATGCAGCCTCACTAATTGCTCTAGGCAAAGAAGTAGGCCTATATAGTCACAATATGTCCTGGTAATCATGTTTTTCATAATACCATATAAATGTGGGAAAATAACAGTTCTCTTTGTTCTTCCACATCAACTGAACCATTTGGAAAAAAAAAAATCTTTGACTGTTATGTGATGAAAAATTCTTTATCTAAAACTTGGCTGCCAAGTCATTCAATTTGAATGACTGAAGTTTACTTTTCCATATAGGAATTTTTGATTGTAATAAGTAAGAAATCAGTTTCTTTTCAGTGTAATTTGAAACTGCCTTACTTGGAAATCTTGCACTTTACCAGCACATTCCCTAGTTAAGTGTTACTCCAGACAATTGCTGTAAAATGCAAAAGAAGTAATGAACTGTGTGTTTTTTAAATCTTCTAGCTAAAAAGAAGAAACCAAAGCTCTTAAACAAGTTTGATAAGACCATTAAAGCTGAACTAGATGCTGCAGAAAAACTACGTAAAAAAGTAAGTTTGAATGTTTTACTCAGGACTGTAGGCAATGGACAAAATGATAAAAACTTAGAAAAAGGGAGAATGTCTTTTAGATTATTTATTGTGAAATTAACTTTTTAAAATTAAATATTCAGTGTGTATTTGTCCTTCAAATTTAACTTCTGCTGGATATTTCATTTGAATTTTAAAGTCATAAGGGTATGTCTGTTCATGTATATTTGCTCACTGTTGACCTTGAAAATATTTAGCTTAACTATTAAATTTCTGCTTAAATTGATCACATGGAACAGGGTTAGTTCTGTCCTATCACTGTTGCCCATTCGAATTCTGAAGTCAACTCTTAACAGAGAACTTAATATGTGCATATTAATATGGATCTCTCAGTAAGTGTTCATATGCCCTGGGAGTGTTAGGTGCAGATCTTTGAAGTAGGTGTTGTTTCTGTTAGGATTCTGCGTGTGTCCTCTGTGTGTCTCTGCTGCCGTACAGTTGCTTAGAGGACAAAGTAGATGTTCCTGCTTCTCACCAGTGGCAGCAAGACTTCTAACATCAGTCAGTCAGTTCAGGTAGTTCTGAATTTAATAACGTGACTGTGGAAAGCAAACAAACAAAAAAAAACCAACAGAAAGCAAGCTCTTCAGAACCTTTTATAGGTTCCAATTTTGTTCTTTTATTTGAGTATTTCAGAAAGTAATACCTTCGCAAAGATGCGAGATCCCTTTTCCAGAAGCGAGATGAGATAGCGAAGCAAGACTGTGGCTGTTAGAGATGAGATGCCTTAAGTCTTTAGGATGTAAATCTTGTAAAAACTCTGATATGCCTCACTGACAGTCCTAGTGCAGGTTTTTGTTGTACCCTGTTGTACCCTGGCTTTGAGATGGATGAGCAAAGAGATATGCTATTTTCAGTACAGTACAATAAAGATCATTTTAGTCACTGCAGATGAAGGATTATTCTTGATTTTCAGTATACTATGCCATTTTGACTTTATACTGCCATCTATGCAGCCCTAGAGTTCTGGTAGGTCTATGATTGGACTGGAGGGCTATTAGAGAGTACTGACCTCATACTGCCACTGCTGTTCATCACTAGAAGCCTTCTTTACATGTTAGAATATAAAACCAAAAGGAATTTTCATGCTTCTTGTTACTTAAGCAATTGGTTAATCAGAAAAAGGCGTAGCAGAAATTTTTGCTGAGCCTATAGGGTCAGGTTGCTGACTCTCTTTTCATGCCTGTGTCTCTTGGTAAGTTACAGATAGAAATGTGTGTCATGTAGGAATCAGGATAAATTTAGTAATAAATCAGACGTGTAATATTTGAAGATAACAAGGCAGTTGTGTGTAATAGCCCACTCATATATGTAAAGCTGTAAGAGCTGGAAGCTGCAGCAAGGTCTGTTGCCAAATATTGCCAAGCAGTGCTTAGCACCTGTTTAGCAGTGTGGCTGGTTCTTCTTGACTTCCATCCATACTTGCTGGTCAACATCCATCGTGAGAATACCATAGTTACGTTTGGACTTTATGTGAGACAGGGAAGGGACACAGAGCACGTGTGAGGTCTCCTGGGAGACACTGTTAAGCAAAAGATTTGGAGGAAACAGGCATATACTATGGATGAGTCTACAATGTTTCCCCTGGAAGATCTGTAGTTACAATATTGTTCATCAAGACAGGTGTGTGGAGAGAAAATTTCCACGTATGCCTAGAGCTTTCTTCCTATTCTCTGTTATATTCATTTTGGACTTCATTATTAGCAGTAGAATCTTTACTTTTTTATATAGACAGGTTATTGTCATCTCAGCATTTTGTCCAGTCAACAAAGGAAAAGTGAGTAAAATAAAAAAACTTTTAATTTCAACCCTGGAAATTAGGTAATATTGTTTCATAAATAATGACAATACATTTCTCTAAAATAAGAAGGCAATCCTAATGAAAGTATGAGTGAAGACTGTGATTCAGAGTGCATTGCTTATTTTATGTTTAACTGTGGTAACTAATGTCTTATTAGGTCCTTCATTCTCCAGCATTTTTATTAGATAGAATTGCTGATAAATGTGTCTACTTTCCAGGGAAAAGTTGAAGAAGCTCTAAGGGCCTTTGAAGCACTAGTGAATCGATATCCACAAAGTCCTCGAGCAAGATATGGGAAAGCACAGGTACTTAAAAATAAAAAGCAAACAAAAAACAATAAATGTTAAAAAAGCTAAAATAAACATTTTTTTTACCAATAGAGTTATAAACCCCAGTCAGAATTAATTTGTAAATTTATGGAGGTTTTCTATGCAATCTGTCATATTGTATCTCTTTCAGTTCATTATCCTTCCCCAATTACGTTGGCAGCTTTTGTGTAACTTTAGTCTAGTGGAAAGTATTGTAAATAACACAAAAATAAGATGTGCCCTGTAGATCTCATAAGAACTGTCAGGTGAATGGTAAGAGATAAATCCCAACTAATGGCCCAGTGCAGGAGCAACAGGCAGAACTTAGCTGTTACATGCTGTTTGCTGTAACTGTTAAATCAACACGTCAGTCAGCTCTGGGATAAATGCTGCTTTTTGCTTAATGGGAATAGGGAAGAGGATTTGGAGTTTTTATGTAGAGAGTGTTAAAGGATAAAGGACACAAATTCTTAGGCAAGGAGGCTTAATTAGCTTTTTTCTTCGTGAAGAGAGTTGTGTTTCAGGTGTTCCCCTTAAAAAAAAACCAACCAGAATGCATCATAAAATAAACTCTGCATTCATAGTACTTTTGAACTGTGTTGGGATGTCTCAGAAGAGAATAAACTTTGAATCTTCATAAGTAGTAGGATAATCCTATTTTTTACTCCTACTAGGAGTAAAAAATGACTCCTTGAACTCATGTTAATCAAGATGAACAAAGTGAAGCCCTTGCTGTAGGAAGGAATTGTGCTGTTAGACAATTAATGAGGCACTTGAATTGGTTTTCAGTTGGTTAATAATAGTCATGCTAAATATCCAAAATACTGTCACACAAGCACTTGATGCACAGCAAAGCAAATCTTTGTCTTTGAAAAAAGGAAAGTCAAATTTCCTAGTGAATGTACGTCAGAAAAAATAATTATTGTTTAAAACTGATTTCTGAAGGTGTCTGAAAGCTGCCTGATGAACTGTTTGGCTGAGTAACCATACTGTTTGGTGTTTCACATACTCAATTTCAAAGCAACTCAAGGAAAAAAATTAAAAGACGGAAGTGCAAAGAGATTTCATGTACTTGCTACAGCATATGCAGAAAACACAGTTGAAGCAGTTTCTTTTGCTACATATGTGAATTTAAATAGACTAACAACATCTTCTGCACCTGTAGTGCTTGCCATGCTCTACAATTTGACTTAAGAAAGGACATAAGCCAATAAATATAGATGTATTTGGGAAGAATGCATTAAACACATGAAAATACATGCATTTATATAAACAATTTAAAGTAAGCCTTTAAAAATTCTGCATTTGAGACATAATCTTACTTTTTCAGCTGTTGAAGCAGATTATGAAAATGCCTTACCACAGGTGAAATCAGTCATAGATTCTGTTGGGTTCACTGAAGCTGTAATTTCACTGTAGAGAGCTCATATATCCTTTGATCTGCTTCTGAATTTGATGAGCCTGTTTAAGTTTTGAAAGAGTTGTAGGGTAGATATTCTATCAATATATGCTAGAGGAAAGGCAAGTCCTAATTCATTTTCTAAGACAGAGTGTAAATAAATTTGTCAGAATACATGAAAAAAATGTTTGTTGGTGTGTTTTGATCTGTGGTTTGCTGCCAGAGTGAGGCTTCTTATACAGATACTCCATAGGCAAAACTTAGCATTTCTTCCATATTAAACAGATTGCCTCATTTATTTTTGAAAGCGGAAATTATGAATTCCACAAATATTAATCAAAAATCTGTGTTAATGTATGTTTTAGGTGCAAGTTTTCTCGTAATTCTGCTTTCAAACAGGTTTTAGGTAACAAGAACTAATGGTAATTCTAACATGTCTTCCTGGTTATTTTTAAGACTAACGGATTATTATGTGTTCTAATTATGGTTTTGTGATTCTTTCTAGTCTGAAGATGACTTAGCTGAGAAAATGAGAAGCAATGAGATGCTGCAACAAGCTATCAACACCTATGATGAGGTGGTTAGTCTGCCAAATGTCCCTTCAGATCTGATAAAGCTGAGCTTGAAACGAGAAGCAGACAGGCAGCAGTTCCTTGGTAAGTTTTGAGGGTGGTGTAAAAATTATGGAAGTTATGTTAACAAGACTTTCAAGAGGTTACTAAGGACTTAAAATGCCAATTCTATTGAATTTTTGGTAGGACTTATCCCTCTAATGTCTTAAATGCTAATGAAAAAAATTATTTAAAATTTTTCTAGGGAACTAGTGTCTATAATTTGCCTGTATGATAACAGTGCCTGTAGAAAGCTGCAGTAGATGCTACGAGAAGATATGATGAGAGGTGGTCAAAAATTTTTATTAACAAAAAAAGAAGAAAGTCTTCTTTTTCTACTGAAGCTGAAGAAAATCAAGAGGAAATTAATGGCATAAGCAGAGTAAACATATTGAGAATAAACTTTCAGTAAACAGAGAAGAATGAAATTGAACTTGGGGATAAAATCGGTTTAGACTGTAGGTTTAGATCTCAATTCTGTGATGTATGAGGAGTGCTGATTAGAATATGAGGCACAATCAACTTTGCAGAAAAGAGTTCTGTTCTCATGGGTTGGATTTTTAATATCAACTTATTTTGTTCTTCCTGTTCCTTTGCAAGACCTCATCTAGGAAGCTGAGGAACATACTTAATTTTAAGCACATAAAGCATGATAAATTTCCGTGATAAATAATGGAAATAGAGTAGAACTATTACTTAATGCTAGAAGTGCATTTAATTTCTTAATTAAGATTAAGTTTATTATTATATATTTACTTAATTTTGTTGAGTGCTTTGATATCTGTTTACAATAAAGCAACCAAAGCTTAAATAATGTTACTGCTGCACTGTAAA